GAATGACAAAATTGGCCCTTTATCAGCCAACTGGGTAGATGAGTAGGCAGACTTCAGGGAAGCACAGGGACTTGGCAAATAAGAGAAACAAAACTTTTACTTCTTAAAATCTTCAAACACCCCCTGTGAACCTCACCTTAACTTAAAAGATAAGACTTGCTGCTGTGCTTCCCTCTGTCTGGATTTTGGGACAGGCAGGGATGAACTCCTGAGCAAGGGGCTGGGGGAGGAGGGGTAACTGATGCCTTGATGGTGTAAGGCCAGGGGTAAGGAGGGAGGAATACCCTGGGTGGCATCTCTTTTCCCTGGGTGCCCAGTTAAATGGGATCTGTTCTGTGATCCCCAAGGGATCAGGTATAACTTTTGAGCCACACTGTCCAGATTCATGGCACATTTCCCTATCTGTATTTTTCTGTGTATTTTCCTATGAAACAGCAGTCAATGAAGTCTTGTTTTGGTGTTTTGGTCTAAGCTAAGGCTAGAGAATCATCAGCCTTTGTGGTTGTTGTCTCAAGATCCCTCCTCACTTGGAGATTCCTCTTGAGTAGTAAACTTCCTAGTTCTTAGGTTTGTTTTCTTTAAGGAAGATACTTTTCTACACATTTCCTCTCCCTTTAAAACCTATGAAGTGTACATCATCATCATCTCCATTTTTTACAGGTGAGAAATAGTCCTGGTGAGGTTAAGGAACATGCCCAAGGCCACAAGGTAGCAAATGGCAGGGCTGACTATTCAACCCATACTTTTTCCACAGACAGTCTATAATAATTGCTATAATAAAGGTTCAGACCAATAATTTGTTTAAACGTGTAATGCAGAGTAATTAATAGAAAATTATAATTTATTTAGTTATCTTGACCATTGCTTCCCCTTACCTCTCCCCAGGTTGGACTTGTCCAGGTAGTATAAAATGTGGTCTCTTCTACAACAAATAACTAAGAAATATCAATGGCTTTTGGTAACCTCAGAACACAAGTTTTTACTTTGATTTGCTTTTTAAAAAATGAGATATAATTCACATATCATGATAGTCACCCTTTTAAAGTATACAATTCATTAGGTTTTTGGTATATTCATGAATTTGTGCAACCATCACCACTACATAATTTAAAAATATTTTTATACTTTGATTCATTTTTAAATGCTCTGCTCTTATAGGTATAAGAGAACAACTAGGTATGTGCAATTGAGAACTCCAAGAAAGATCTAGAGATCTCAAGTGAAACTGGAGTCAGTAAATGTAGTGCTGCCATTGTGGTGTTAAAAAGGGACCTGCATGGTGGACATATTTGTATTCAGTCTAGTTCAAGAGCTGCCCTCTAAAAGTGGTGAGGAAAACGGTCAAAGGAGGGTAAGGAAGATAATTAAAGGGCAGGAAAATAAGATTCACAATGAAAACTTTAAAGAGCTTGCAGTTATTTAGGAAAGGTCATTTAAGAGAAACTTTAAAGTACATGAAAGGATTGTTATACATAAAATGGTGACATTTTCTTTTCCCTTCCGTCATTCACTAAAGAAAGGACAAAGAAAATGGATTCATTCTGTGGATGAATAGTTAGGTTAGCATAGAAGAAGAAAGTCATGACAGGAGGCTTGTTAACCACCAAAACCTGGATGGCAGCAAAAGGTCCTCTGATGTTTTTTGAAAAATTTTTAAAATTTGAAGTAGTTTTAGACTTACAGAAAGCTTACAAAGACTAGTATAAAGAATTCACTTATCCAGATTCCTCAATATTGACATTTTACCACATTTATCATTTGCTCTATATTGTCTGAACCTTTGGAGAGTAAGGTATGAACATGATTCCTCTCTTTGTACCCCTAAATACTTCAGTGGATCCGTCCCCAAACAAGGACATTCTCCTGCTGAACCATAATATTATAATGTACTATTATAAAAATTGAGAAATTAACACTGATACAATACTATTATTTAATCTATATACCTTACTTTAAAAAAAAGTTTTCCTGGTCCAGGATCATGTCTCTTAAACTCCTTTAATCTGGAACAGTTCTTCAGTTTTGTCTTTCATGACCTTAATATGTTTAAGAGTACCAGCCAGTTATTTGGAAAGCCTGTCCCTCAATTTGGGTCTCTGCTGCTGTTTTTTTTTTTTTTTTAAACCAGAATTTTCATTGTTTGAGGAGTTTTAGGTATGGTCTAGAGTGACTCCTTGAATTAGCCTCTGTTCTCAAGTTTCCTCGCAGCCACTTCATACAGTATTAGATTTACAGATGGTGGTGGACAGACAATAAAACATTTTTCTTTTCAGAACCGACCGGCTTATATTACATAGATTCCGCGCCCCCCAACCCCACCGCATTTTACAAGTTTATTTTAACAAAAGTAAGTTTGTGGAAGAATTAGCACCTACTCTCTTTAAGCATGTGAGACTTAAATTACTTGTAGACGCCCATTTTGAGAATCTCACCTTTGCAGTGATGAACTATGCCCTGGGCTCAGAAGACAAAGAGCTGCAAAAATGGGTGGGTGTTACTCGTTACAATCATTCAACAAATATTTGGTGAGTGCCTAGTATATGCTGGGCTCTGCTCCAAGTCCTGGGAATATATTCGAGAATAAAACAATAAATCCCTGTCCTTGAAAATCTAGTTGGAAAAATTAAACTTTAAATTAAAAATAAAAAATCGGAAACCAGGTATTAGACTTTCTTACACAGGAAGAATGCAAGTCTCTGTGAAAATGGGCAATTCTGAGATTCAGGATTATAATTTGGATAACGCTGCAGAATCCCTGGTAAACGCGCTGATTTAATAAAGTCTTCGGTTTATCCAATTGCACTACACAAATGATTAATCCAAACACCAAAGCTCGAAAAGGACGGCAGGGGCCAGGCTTCCGAACTGTTCTAACCAGCAACAGTCGCCTGCCTGGCGTCGAGCCTCGGGGCGGCCGTGCGCAATCGGGTCAACCCCGCGGGGGCCACGCAGCGAGTGCCGCGTCCCTGCAAGGCGGCTCCTCCTGGGCCCCGCAGAGCTGAGCACCTGTGTACCTCGCGGCGAGAAAGCCTCGCGGCGAGGTGGCTCGGGGAAACCGGCTCCTCCAGGTGGCCTTGCCCTCTGCAATGCAATCTGGGTGGTTTTTCCAGGTCCCTCCCTGCCTCGTTCCGCGCCCAGTCCCAGCCCCCGCGACGCCCGAGGGCCGGGAGGGTGGCTAGGAGGTACCGGGGTTAGGGCGGAGCGAGGCTACCGCCGTCAGCCAGCCGAGCCCATTTATGACTCCGCGTGCTGAAGTCCAGGAGAGGAAGCCGCGGACCAGGGTGGTACCGAGCGCCCTCGCCGGTCCTTCAGGCGCTGCGAGTGTGGGAGCCCGGCCTCGGCTGGCTCTCCGCGGACGCAAGCCGCCACCTGCACTTTCCGCCACCTGGAAACGCGTTTGTGCCGGCCTGGGGCTCCTCTTCCCCCTCCCGGGAGCCTCAGCCGCCACTGGGAAAGCCGGGGCTCCACCTTCCCCTGACTCCGGTCCTGCGAGGTTACCCAGCTTGTACTCTGAGTGGGTTACAGCAGTGATGGTGTGTGCTTGCTCAATTTCACATCATGAATACGAAGGGCTGGGCACCTGGAGCCGAATTAGTAATACCTCAGACGAATTCTGTTCCCAAGAATAGTTTGAAATATACAACTTCACCTGTAGCGCTTTTCTCTCCAAAATGTCAACATGACCCACCATATTGCCCCCCGACTTGGTAGCTCTGGGGTGATGGTGGGTGCACAAGCCTCTGGGCAGATCAACCGGGAGGTTGTTTGGGACCTCAGTCAAGTCGACCCACTCCAAGTGCAAAGCCAACACGCATGAGTAGAGGGCGTGGCGTCAGAGCAGGGAACCGAGGAAGAAGCTTCCTTGGCCAGATTTAGGATAACCTTTATTAGACACGCGGGATAGATGCACTTTATTTAGGGCCCAAGGCAAATCAAAGGAAGTGGGCCCCAGCCTTGGAGGACGTTCCAGTCTCGAACTAGCAGCCGGGACCCAACAAGACGTAGCAGTTCAAGTAGTTGAGGAAAAAGGTCCATTGAGCGTGAATTTCCTCAAAAGGGTCCCCCAGTTGCTATGCGCGGTGAGTAACTGCGTCCTGGAGTGTGACTCGGTGGCTGGGCGTCCAGCCCCGGGCGTCTGGCTCTGCGGCGCGCGAGGTCCGGCTCCTGAAGGTGGGCAGCTCGGCTGGGTTGAGGTAAGCGCGCACCCAGCTCCGGCCAGAAGGGAAGGGCTCGCAGGATTTCTCCTGCTGTTTGCACTGAAAGGTGTGTTGGCTCGGGAGCGGCTTTTCCGGGGTCTGGCAATTGCCCCCGCCACCTCCCGGCTGCCGTTGGCTGGTCCCTCCCTCCGCGGTTAGCTCTCCCCGGGCGCCGCGCCCTGGGCAGCTCCGCACCCCGGGCCTCACCTCTGGCCTCCTTTCGTCCCGCGTGCCCGGCCTCTACGCTTGACCCTTCAGAACCTTCGGCTTCGTTCCCCACAGCCGGCCTTTCTCCGAGCTCCACCGCCCCCCACCTCGGTTACCTCCAGTGGGGACTCCCCGACCCCCCAGCGACTCAGCGCCCTTTACCTCTCACCCTTTTCCTGTCTGGCCTGGTCTACCCTCTGGGTGGCAGCCGCCTCTTCCCCACTCCTCCTGTCTCCCCCTCCTCCTCGGTCGCCTTCGCCTCTCCATTCATCCAGCCATTGTCTCCCGCCCCCTCCTCCCCCTACCCCACCTCCCCAAGCGGCCTCCTCCCCCCACCACTGCCACGTCGTGGTTTGAAGGAGCCAATCGCCCGGCGCCGCCAGGTGTCTCTTACCTGCACCACGTGGGGGAGGGGGAAGGGGCGGGCAGGTGGAGCCACATCCCAAAACAGAAAAGCTTTCAGCCATTGCGCGCCTCCCGGGGGTGCAGCCTTGCTCCTGGCTTTTTGCATAGACGCACGGGCAATTGAATACAAAAAGGGCAGGCCTCCTGCGCCCTCCTTCCCACCCCCCTTCCTGCCCTGGGTGTGGAGCACCGGCCAGGTGTGGGCTTGGGTGGTTGGTTACCGCCTTTTGCACCAGCGGCAGCGAGGAGGGGGGGTGGGCGCTTTTTCCTTTTCTCTTAGAAGAGCTTTCAGCACAGGTTTTCTCGTTCTCAGTTCCACCCCACCTCACCGCCTCCCGACCCCCCTTCTCCCCCTCCCCACCTATCGTCATGACGGCCTCTCCGGATTACTTGGTGGTGCTTTTTGGGATCACTGCTGGGGCCACTGGGGCCAAGCTGGGCTCGGATGAGAAGGAGCTGATCCTGCTGTTATGGAAAGTCGTGGATCTAGCCAACAAGAAGGTATTTATTCCATGTTTTTGTCTAAATGCAAGGAGTGGGGCAAAAAGTTTGTTGTAGAAGTTGGGGGGGGTAGGTAAACAAGTGCTCTTGTTTGACCACCTGTGAGGCTGGACCTGAGGCCTAGAGAATCCAGAGTAAAACCAAACTTGTTAGCCAACCTCTCTGGAGCCATTTCAGACCTCCAAAGCCTGGCTCAGGTGGGGAGGCCGGCGTCCTCGAGCCGGGTTATTTGCCGGTCGGGGGACGCCCAGCCGAGACGAGATAGGGTCCCTGAGGCCCCGGGGTCCACTTCCAGGGCCTTTCCGACCTGACCGGGTGGGGGTGGGGCGGAGGGGGCAGGGACGCTAGCCGACCACTCGGCCACCGGAATCGCTGGCGACTAGTGAGCTTTGATTGTGCAGCCGGACCCCCGGGCCGCCCTAGCAGGGGAGCGAGGGAGGAGGGTGAAGAACGAGGCTCCCGAGTTGAAGGAGGGGGAAACTGACCCCTGCTTCTCTCCCCCTGGAGGTGGGACAGTTGCACGAAGTACTAGTTAGACCGGATCAGTTGGAACTGACGGAGGATTGCAAAGAAGAAACTAAAATAGACGCTGAAAGCCTGTCCTCGGCGTCGCAGCTGGACCAAGCCCTCCGACAGGTGACAGCCCTGGGCCACGCCGCCCACTCCCATCTCGGCCCAACCCCACCAGGCCCCACGCCCTCTCGGGGCGGTCCACGCGTGTCCCTGGGGCAGGGTGGCGACACTCCCGGCCGCGTGGGTGGGAACTCGGCTTCGGGGCCGGAGTGGGCCGTTTGGGAGGGGGAGGCTGCTCCTCTTCGCCTCTCAGCTCCCAGGGTCTTGGGGTGAATTTCGAGTTGCTTCCCGAGTAGTTCCTGGGGCCAGAGAATCAGCCGTGTTTTACCCTCGGAGTGACGAGCGGAGTTTGAAACCTAGCGCCCACGTCTCCAGATTTCAGACCCCAGACGCCCCAGTCTTCTTGCAGGGGGTTGGGTCTACAGCCTTGGGGCAGGGGGCGCTGTGGTGTAGACGTGCGGGCGGGCTCCGTGCGGTGCGCAAGATGCGGACACAATTTTGGTCGGAACCTGGAAGTACCTGTCTTGTTTTAGGCTTCTGAACTCCCAAAGAGAGACTCGGTTCCATCATTACTTCTTTAGTAGCCTTGGTCTCAGCGCCGGGAAAGGTTTGCAGGTCCGAACATGTAGGGCTGCTCGCTGGGTCACCGCGGAGTGGATGGAATCCCCTTATTGGGATTGAGGTGACCTAAAAACCGGCTGCTCCGGGTGGTGATGGGTGCCGGATCGCGGATAGGGTGTGGCGCTAAACACCTGTGCACAGATGTTTGCCCTGCGATCTCACGGCTTCTGCCCTAGCACACGAGATTCGAATTACAGGAGAAAGTTATTTCTGGGATGTATTCCAAGAAACGTGTTACTGGACTTTCTAGAGGTGTGTGTACCCATTACCCACATTTATTTATCAGAAATTGGTATCTTAAGCCTGGCACATCTAGGCTTACAAAAACAGTAACACCAGGGAATGATGTAATCTGAAGGCAACCTGCTGATGAAATGAGACCTCTGAATTAAGTCTGGAATGAATTTATTATAAAAATTGACGGGGCGGGGAGAGATCAAGGAGGGAAAGGTTTTGACTGGCTTTTGAGTGTAAACTGCGGATTGGGTGGAAAGCTTCCCTGCCTGAAGGAATCTAGACCGTCTTTCTGATGTTGCCCCAGCACCCACTGTCCCCCTTCAGGGATCTTAGTGTGGTTTCTTTTGGTTATCACCAAGTGGAGCCACTTTGCAGAGTTTGTAAATCCTGCGTCAGTTGCATCCCTGTGTGTCTTTTGTTTTTTCAGTTTAACCAGTCAGTGAGCAACGAACTGAATATTGGGGTGGGCACTTCGTTCTGTCTCTGTACTGATGGGCAGCTTCATGTCAGGCAAATCCTGCATCCTGAGGCTTCCAAGAAGGTAAGAGTGCTGGCTTCTGGAATAACGATTAGGACCTTTGGGGTGACTGGAGGCTTTTTAGGAAAACTGGTTTATTCAAGTTTCTCTATTTTTTAAAAAAAATGCATATGGGGAGTTATTCTTTAATGGCTACAGAATTTCAGTTTGAGAAGATAAAGACATTCCAGAAATGGATAGTGGTGATGGTTGCAAAATATGTTAATAGACTTAATGCCACTGAATTGTACACTTAAAATTTAAGATGGTAAATTTCATGCTATGTATATCTTGCCACAAAAAGAAAAGCATGACAACTGCATAGAGATGTTTGAGGTTGCAGTAATTTTATAGATACTCTTTGGTGACTTAAAACAAGCTCTCTTTTTGTTTATATCAAATTTTCAAGATGCTTGACATTCTCCCTTTTCTAAAGCTATTACGGAGTATGAATTTTGGACATCTAAAATAACTACAAGTAGGGAGAAAATAACTGAATTTTAATACATTGTAATATCCCCATTTGTGTTAAAAATGCTATATCCTAGAAAGGAAGGAACAAAAGTTCAATTAAACCTTTTTAAATTGTATTCCTAATCATTTCATTTAAGAAAAACTACTTAAATAAGACCTACCCATATTACTAGTGAGGCAGTAGTTGTAGCTCACTTTGCTTTGTCTGAGGCTAAGTTAATATTCAAAACTGTATCTTGTATCAAACCAATAGGGTCATCCCTATCTTTTACCTTTGCTCATATTTCTGATATGGAGAAGATTATGGAGTGAGAAAAATGCAGTGTTACCATGGATATAATGTGATTTCTCTCCCTGGGGGAGGGATAGTGAGGGGTTGTGGGAAAATGAACAAATGAATAGCATAGATAGTCAACCCAGTGTAGCCAATCATTGCTAATACAGTTGCTCTTAACAACCTAAATTAGTTTGAGCTGTAACTTTTTATTGTGGCAGGCAGGTACTAAGCTTGAAAAGATGGAAGGAGAATAAATTTAGGTAACTGTATGAGGCAAGTCTTTGCAATGAAAGGTGTAGACTGACAATTGATGGCAAAGGCAAGTGAACAAGTACAGATTTTATTTCTTTTTATTCCCCAAGTAGGGAAAGGTGGCAAATGAGTTAAATGTTTAATGACGGTTTTAAAAGTTTGAAGGAGTAACTCAAGTTCCTATGTCTTGAGGAAATTGTTGCCTTTATAGGAGCCTTAGTAAGTATTTGATAAAGGGAATACTTTTTTTAAATTAAATACTAATATATGAGGATACTTTTCTCCCTCAAACTCATATGGGGAAGGATAAGACTTCCATCTTTTTCCTATTGGGCCAGAGGAAAAGAGCCGTTTATGTTATTTTTAGATGGACTGCTTTGAATGTGGGAAAACCTCCAGAGAAAAAATAAGATGTTTTCCTGAGTCACATCTATTAGGATTTCAAGTACAAGAAACTAAAACAATTAATGCACTATCATAATGAAAGTAATTCTATATATTCATTAAAGAAAAAAGGGGATATGGTAAAACATAAAATAATCTTGCCACTCAGAAAACAATATATTGACGTGTTTTTCTCTAACATGAATGTATTTGGATATATTCTTTCCAGATTTGTGTAGAAAAGCCTTATTTTTACAAAGAGCATTCATACTACACACACCTTTTAGCCTCCTTTATAATTTAATAGAATCTTTTTTGCAAGCACGAAATACTCAGTATTTTAAGTGGATACAACTGTTTAAACTGATCCTTTATTGTTGGAAATGTGAGTTATCATTACAAACAGCTTTTAAAAGAGCATTTTTGTAGATAATTGTAAAGATTCATGATTTTTTTTGGCAATTAACTCTTTTAAAAGCTGTGACCATGATGCAGTAATACTGATTTCAAATAATAGGATGAACAGGTCACATCTAATAGAATCCAATGGAAGGAACTTAGGAGACATTTTGCATAAATATTTAATGTTAAAAAGTCTTTTCTTGATTTTTCTAACATACAAATGGGTAGAAATTACTACTAAGTGAACACAAACTATTTTGAAGACTTAGGAAAAATCTAAATTTAGTTTTAAAAAAAATCTTTAAAAGTTATCAATTTTTTTTGTTCAGAAAAAAATGAAACAATAGTGTAATATTTGCTCACACAGTTGAGCTTTAATAACCACAGGAGTGGTGCTAAGAACAGCAGGTAACCATTTCTCCTTTGCCTTTGGGATTTGTGAGATTTTTTTTAAAGTCTCATTTGAATTCTCAGATATAGCTGAATAGTGGTCAGGAAAACTAATATGGGGCTATCATTTGGCACAAAAATAATCCTTATTGGTTAATCAGGAATTTACGGTCCTAATCTAATTTAGTACTGAAAATATGCATTATTAGAACCCAGTGGTTAAAACTACTAAGTTCTATAATTTAGTCTTGTATCTAAACTTACACATCTATATGGAAACAGGATTGATATTGCTGCCTGAAAACACAGATGGTCTAAAATGATTATGGTTGAAAAAAGTAGTACTACCACCCAGAAAATATAAAGTATAACAGCCCAAATGTATTATAGCTTCAGAAATGTTTTGAGTGGAATGAATACTGGAGCACAAACATTGTAATCCATTGCCTTAAAATAAGATGACTTTTTTTCATGAAACTTGTGTGCAGAATCTAATATAGCAACAAGACCAGCTAGTAAAAATGAAGCCACTCTTACATTAAATTTTTAAACATTTTGATAAAATATGCTTACATTCAATTTTAGGTTCCTAATTAATAGGAAAACATTAACCCAAAATCACCTAGTTAACTGTATCCACCTTGTCCTTCCTCAGAATGTACTACTACCTGAATGCTTCTATTCCTTTTTTGATCTTCGAAAAGAATTCAAGAAGTGTTGCCCTGGGTCACCTGATATTGACAAACTAGATGTTGCAGCAATGACAGAGTGTATCCTTTAAATGATTATCGGAGAAGCATTTGAAAAGATAGCTCCAGGAAAAAAATGGTAATTCAAGAAATTTTAAAATGTTTTTTCATGTCAGATGGGTGATGTGCCAATGAAGGAGGCATATCTCTCACATGAGCATGAAAATCCAATCATCATGCTTATGAACTATGAAAGGCTCTTTAAACATTTTAAACTTTGTCAGCATATGGATGAAATTGGCCTGTCCAAAATTTGACTACAGTGCTAGCAGGAACTATCAGTGCAATTATAGACATCTTTGAAAGTAGTTACAATTAATTGAATTTGGACAGTTGAATGGATTTACAGCTGAATTTTTGTGAGGTGATCACATCTAAAATAGAATTCAATTTCAGATTATGGGATTTTTTTTTTTTAATTGGAGAAGAGAGTTAAGACTTTACTTTCTTTGGTGCAGATCCCAAGGCCACTTGTTCTTGAATACCTTGGTTTCAGTGTTTATTTTGGCTTCTTTGGAATGAAGCCAATGAATTTTTTTAAATTAGTGGGTATGTCCTCCTTACAAACTGCCATTCACTGGGTTCCCCCTTTTAACCTCCCCTCAGTTTCTCAAATACATACAACAAGATGGTGATCATAATCTATCTGTGGAGATGACAAAATGGGATCTGGATTGTCCCCCAAATTCTTTAATTTCCAAGATAGTATATTTGATGTGTTATATATTATAAAAGTAGATATTATATGATCACAAATCTGTAATCATGAATGACCCATCACCTTGGGTCCATTAGGTCTTTAAAGTGCTAGCTAATAAGCAGTCATGTGCTAATCTATCAGATGTGAAATTCAGTAGTCATCAGGTTAAGTGGGTCCCCCAAAGCCCCTGCGGGAATCATCATGAAGCTGAATCTTAAATTACTTTCAGTAACTTGTGGGTTATAGATTTTTATTCTTAAACTTTCTTATTTCAAGAACTAAAGTCTGGTTTTTATCTTATTTCAAAATTTACTTTCCTGATTGAAGGTTGTTTGCGTATTTTTCCTAACTACTTGTAAATAGGTCGAATCCATCTTTATTTGCCTTCTTGGAATCAGCTGGAATTTTTGGGTTAGCATCACTAGTAGTGCTGGGAAGAAGGTGGAATAAGCTTATTTTGAAGGGATTCTCATGAGAATTTTGTTGAAAGGTTGGGACAACAGGGAAATTCTTGTTTGTTGGTTTGAATGCTGTATTAGCTCAGGCTGCAATGACAAATACTATAGACTGGGTGGCTTAACAGAAATTTACTTTCTCACAGTATTGGAGGCTGGGAAAACCGAGATCAGGGTACTATCATGGTTGGGTTCTGGTAAGGGCTATTCCTAGCCTGCAGACAGCCACCTTCTTTCTGTGTCTCAAATGGCATCTAGAAAAAAATAAGTAAACTGGGAGGAAAGTCTAATAAGTTTCTTAATTTAGAAAAAGACAATTTTGGTAGGAAAGATAGTATGTTAATTATCCTCAACTATTCAGTTTCTTCTTTTAGCAAAGAAAATCTCTACTTAGTAATTATAGGTCAGTAATGCTAGTGAAGATTTCCATAGCTAAAAACAGAGGTTCTTATATTTAAGTATTTTGGTTTTCTCAGTGTGTTGACAATTCAGAGAAAACATATTAAAGTTCTTTTTTTTTTTCCTCTCTGGATTTTAAGAGTTTCACATATATAACATTTGAGGGTTTTAGTACACATTTTCAAAATGGTTACCTGGGCTTCTTGTTCTGTGTTGTATTTTCTACACACCAGTATACAGTACTTAAAATAAAAAAGTTGCATTATCATTAGGTGAATAAGTAGGATGCTCTGCCAGTTTTTCCTGTCATTCCTTTTAATCCTAGCTCCATAGTTGTGTTGGCAGTTCTTTTTCAAGTGCCATAGAGATGAAAATCAGAAATTTTTGACTCCGGTAAACAGATGAATTGTAAATAAAGCTAAGTTGTACTCCATTTTAGGCACATCACACCAGAAATTGAGGAAGTCATGGCCATTTAGCAATGCATTCATTGAAAAAAAGACAGGATTTTATATTATCTTTCTTTAAAAATAGCTTAATTTAGTCTAGTTGCTTTGGACATACTTTGGAAGAAACTTGGATTTATAGTTTTATTACTAATTAAAAGGTGGATTTTAATCTTAAATGTTTTAATATTATGCTGCGTATGTCTTTCCCATTTAACAGGTTAGAAATACTATTAAGCTTTCTTAGTTAGCAATGGTTTTTATTTTACATTGCTGCTGTGATCGATTATTTTATGACTCCTATTCAGAGAAATCATCATTTCCCTGACTAGGCCTCCACACCACTTCCTGACATCAAAAGCAATCATACCAAATCTCAACATCCATTTGTGCTCATCTATGCAAAGTATTTTTCAATGGCTGAGCTAAAGAGTTGTTCTGTTCTTTCAGAACACTAAACATTTTCATTTTCTTTGCTAATATGGAAATGACATTGAATTTTGAAACCTAAAGATAGTCATTAAACATTCTTGATGGTTTTGCCAAGTAGATGGAGATGCATTTGCTCCTGAGGGATTACCTGTTCTACCAGGTAAACCATGGGGGAGGGAGAGAGGCTTCTGTCGACACCAGAAAGGAATAAGTAAGGTAATGTGCAAGTTGATATGCTTGTTTAATTTTTTCTTGCTGTGAAATAGTTGTTCTTGTTTATTTAAATGAGTGTACAGAAATATTGACTTTATTTGGAGCCTTGGTGACCTCATAGTATGCTAAGTGTATTTGGAACATGCTTTGTTAACTTTACGTTCAAGTAAATTTTTTCGCATTCAGTTTTTAGTTAATAGACTATCTTTTTTTTAAGCCAGGGTCTTCATTGTGTTGCCCAGGCTGGTCTTAAACTCCTGAGCTCAAGTGATCCTCCCACCTGAGCCTCCCAAGTAGCTGGGACTATAGATGTGCGCCACTGTACCTGGTGATTTTATTATTTACAGCAGTTTTAGGTTCAGAGCAAAATTGAATAGAAAGTACAGAGTTCCCACATGACCCCTGATTCACACATAAACACAACCTCCCCCACTGTCAACATGCTGCACAAGAGAGATATATTTGTTACAATTGATGAACCTACATTGATACATCATTACTCAAAGTTTATAGTTTATGCTGGGGTTCACTTTGCTGTTGTACATTCTGTGGGTTTTGACAAATGCATGATGGCATGTATCCACCCACCATTGTACAATCAGAATACATCCTAATACCAGCATTGCATGGAATAGTTTCATTGCTTTAAGAATCCTCTGTGCCCTGTCTATTCATCCATTCCTTAACCCCTGACAACCACTAATCTTTTTACTGTCTCTGTTGTCTTTTTTTTTTTTTTTTTGAGATGGTCTCACTCTGTTGCCCGGGCTAGAGTGCCATAGCATCAGCCTAGCTCATGGCAACTTCAAACTCCTGGGCTCAAGTGATCCTCCTGCCTCAGCCTCTCGAGTAGCTGGGACTACAGGCATGTGCCACCATGCCCAGCTAATGTTTTCTATTTTTAGTAGAGACGGGGGTCTCGCTCTTGCTCAGGCTGGTCTCGAACTCCTGAGCTCAAACAATCCGCCCGCCTCGGCCTCCCAGAGTCTCGCTCTTGCTCAGGCTGGTCTCAAACTCCTGAGCTCAAACAATCCGCCCGCCTCGGCCTCCCAGAGTGCTAGGATTACAGGCGTGAGCCACCACGCCCGGCCTGTAGTCTTAACTTTTCCAGGATGTCATATAGATGGAATCATGTAGTATGTAGCCTTTTCAGATTGTCTTTTTGCCCAATAGTATGCATTTAAGCTTCCTCCATGTCTTTTCATGGCTTGATAGTTCCTTTTGCTTTAGTGCTGAATAATATTTCATTGTCTGGATGTACCACAGTTTGTCCATGTACCTACAAAAGGACATCTTGGTTGCTTCGAGGTTTGGCAATTATGAATAAAGCTGCTATAAACATCCTTGTGTAGGTTTTTGTGTGGACTTAAGTTTTCAGTTCATTTCGGTAAGTACCAAGGAGTATAATTGCTGCTTCATATGGAAAGAATGTAGTTTTTTATACCTCACTGGGATTTTGTGTTTAAGGCATATATTTTGAGGGGGAGGGAGGGAAAGCAATAAGGCCTTGTGTTTTTAAAAAGTATGTGCAACCTGAATAACATGCAGTATTTTGAGATGTTTATGAAAGATTAAAGAAAATGAGAATGCTGTCATTTTCTCATGGAAGAGGAGACTAAAGCCTGAGATCCAGAGTCACAGAACCTGGGCCTAAGTGGGCTCTGCCATACAGCAACTTTGCCTTCCTGTGAGTTACTTTTGTTTCCAAGCCTCACTTTATCGTGGATATTCCCAAATGAAACCTTTGTAAACCATGAGGTGCTATGTAAATGAAAAAGTATGACCACTTTGGTTAAAAGAAAGGGTTTAGGAATTTCTTGAATGCAGTTCTGGTTCTTACTTTAGCACTTATTTCCTTCTTTTGTCTTTGTATTTATTCTAAAAACAATTTCTGGTGTTAGTGCTAGGCCTCCAGGTTATTCCATTTACAGTTCTGTTGCCTGCTTTTGAATTATCTGATCCCAGCTGAGAAGACTTCATCTAGCAGGTGATTTGTGAGTTGCATTTTGTAAGCTCTTTATTTTAATCAGGTGAGGTGGTGAGGTTCTAATGATGATAGGGATTGGGGCTTCTGTGGATTTTTTTTTTTTTTTTTGAGACAGAGTCTT